ATATTTGAATCTACAATTTGGAGTGCCATCCTCGAGCAGAATTGAGGTGCATAACATAAATAGAAGTGCCGAAAGTGGTGATCCTTGAGGGACAGCGCATTCAACAGGCTTCTCATCTGTTACGCCTTCTTCATGTCTTACCAAGATTTTTCGTTGCGTTAAAGACTGTCAGGCGTAGGCTAACTAGGTGCAAGACTCGAGGCGTAGGAGATGGCGTAGAGTACGAGATACTGGGGAAGGACGCCTCGTGGAAACGTGGAGGTCTTTCTAGAGAATGGGTAAGGGAAACGTAGGGAGTCGTTCTAGATAAAGTGGCCGGAAGTGACGGTAGGTCGCTATGGCTGACAGAGGACGAGAATGAGATGTAATTAGAATTATATAACTATCCCTAAAGACAGGAAAAAAGCATGAAAACTCAGTCTTGGAATTGAAAACTACATGCTTGTCCTCGCTAGGCAATAACGCCTTGTGGGATTGGATAAGGAACTCGTGGACCCTGCCCAAGGCATTTCTTCAGAATCCTTGTAGAAAGGATTCTACCCAGCGACCGAGTAGTTTTAGACAGCCTTGACTTAGCATTTGTGCCAGCAGCTAATTGTGTAGAACTGCATCGAAGACAACTTGAATGTCCAGCGTGAACATAACTGTGACTTTGTTTAAAGTCATTAGAGCTTCTGCATCGTGTGTGACACATGATACCAGGTCGACTGTTGAGCGTCGTGGTTGCGCGCCGAATAGTTACGAAGGTACTGCCTTGTGCTTTAACGCAAGCCAAGACATCTGTGTAGTTATTAGTCTTTCCAGTCCCTTGCTTAAGCTGGAGAGTAGCAATATCGGTAGCCTTCCTTTTGGCCTGGAAAGGTCGCGTCCAATTTAGGAAGTAGCACAACTTCGGTCTTTCTTTCCTTCGAAAATTGCATGTATTAGCCGGCAAAGACGAATTCTTCACCTTCCAGTGGTGCCGATGTAATGGTTCAGTATGCTCTGCATTTCTGGGATAGCCAAGAAGAATCGCATCCTTCGCAACGGCAGCTTGTTGAGCGTGGCCCAGTCTATTTCGATTGATACATGGGCTAGGTTCGGTTCCCGGCACGATAGATCGAAAGTTTAAGTTTGGGTCTCTTCTATTCGGTCTTCTAACAACTTCCCGATTGAGTTTGACTGGGAGGACTTTATGACTCACCAACAACCATCCAAAATCAAAGGTAATATACCTTCCGCTTTCAACCTTACTAACATTGTGTGCAGTACTGGGCAATTGCTCGGCCTCATTTCAGACAAGCACCTCGATTGCAACATTAACATTCTCAACTTTTCGACACATTCCAAAGACGGCGCAAACAAAGAAGCCTCACTCAGACAACGAACAATGTACGACAAAAGCTGGGGCACCGATGCCTCGGTTTTGAGCTCTCGATTTCGGAATTACAGCCCTCTCAAATGGGGGTTGAGCGCAATGCAGGGGAGAATTTGGGAAGAACGATATGTGATTTTCAACAGGCTGTTGGCACAGTTGGTCGGGTGCTGGATGTGCTTTCAAGAAGTATTAGGTTGGATTCCTACACGGCCTGTTTAAGAGGGGACTACGACTGCTCGTCGTGAAAGAGTACAGGAGGAATTATTGAGGTTTTCCCACGAAGGTTTTCCTTCAATACATGGTCTTAGGATGATGGTGAATGCGTTCCTACCCATTCGACCCGATCTGACTAGCGTGAGGCACGTATTTGGAAATGTCAGGCACCGGATGGGCTTTGCTGGAGAATGGAAGAACTTGTATTCTAGATGTCCTCCATGCGTGTCACGTCCATTGGATGGAGGTTGTAAGCCTGGCACGATAAATATAACACACAAGTATGAGCAAATTGTTCACCTTTGAACTCTCCCCACACAGATCCCAGCTGCGCCCGACAGGACCTACATAAAATAAGCTTCGACGCCAAAATCACGCCTTGGCGTAATGGAGCTAGTTCAAAGCATTGATTCATACAAGCTGTATTAAGCACGAATACTTTCCTTGAGGGAAGTGCATCAGGCACGGGAGAGAGACTGTAAGGAGTTTACCGGGGCAGTCAAAGCTCTTGAAGCGGCATCGGAGTGCTTGGTATAGACGTAGCAGCGTCCACTGGACTTGATGTAGCGTGTAAATAGGCTAATGGATAGTCAGCAAGTCATAAAAGCAATGGACTCTAACACATCATGACTAGTCTTTAATCACGGAAAATTGTGAGGTTAACTGAGTTGGGTTAAGTGACAATCAAGTGGGTACCTGGGAATGCGGGATCAGACATCATCACCTCCGCATTCTTTTTTCGGTGATTGCACCGCTCGACTGCTAGTGAGGCGGAACTTTGCCCATCCAGCGATGTGAGCTGCATCTGTTCATGCGCAATAACAAACCACTGGAGCTAGGATTATCCACACACTTGTTTGAATCTACTATTTTGGCACAATAAAAAGCATCACTCACACACTCCACACACTTGCTCCGAAATCTCACTACATCCCGCACGAACCACGGCAACATTACAGGATACCACTGGCCTTTCAATAATCCAGGCGCTATTTTCGAGTACAGCCTCAGAATGAAAACCACTCCTTCGCACTTTACACACTTGTGACTTGGCGCACACATTACTTGTCTGAATATAGAGTTATTGTCACACAATGTCCCCGCCAACAAACTACTCAAGTTGGCACAGATTATCTTCTCACTCTCCAGTCGTGCCGGTATAAACGCTTAGAAGACTCGACGTACCTAACATAGCCTCGAAGGATTAAGTCAAAGGACAAAGACTGAAAACTTGTAGGCAGTATCCTCTAAGAATCTATTACTGAAATATTCTTCCAGACCCGGGCTCAGTCAAAATTCTAATTTCTAGTTTCGCCATATCGAACAAGTTGGCCCACGAGGCCATGATTCGTTACTCTGCACCAAATAATTATATTTATGAGCTATGCGGAAGTCACATTGTAGAGTGATGAGGAGCGGATGATATTGTATTTAGCGGGTAGAGTGAATAGACTCATATAATACTATGCTGTAGGTATGTGGACAGAAAGTATAAGATTTAATTTGTATCCGTTCATTGTGGGTACATCTATGAAACTATATACATGCTCGCCTAACCAGTACACTAGTGATGTACAGTGCCTCTGGGTTCCAAAATGTAATGCTTGAAACTGGGTTATTTAAGGGATTAGCCCTGTAGGCGCAGTTGGACTAGCTCGCAATAGGTTAGACTGTCTCTCGTCATTACCCCGCTCGCCATGAAGTATGGTCCAATCGTCTTCTTCTATCAGTCGGTTAGAAAAACACATTTTCAACGACACCTTTGGCTGCCTAACCTACACAGTCTTTGAAACTTATCAACAGTATCAATTCATCTTCTATTCTAGCCAACAATGTCTCTCCAAAAGTCTGTTTCAGAGACCAAAGTTCGCAAGCATCTAACTCGCGATCAATGTATTGAAATAAGAGCATTAAGAAGACTTGGCTTGACATTACAACATATACCCGACGAACTTGGCTTCAGAAGAAGGCAAGTGCAACTTGCGTGTGCTCGAGAGACTGAGAATCCTATGCCCCGCAAAGGATGCTCACCAAAATTCAGCGTGGAACAAGTTGATGAGCTTGAGGCTTTCGTCCGGGAATCTCCTGAAAATCGACAGATGTGCTATTTGGAACTAGCAATGGGACCCTTCAGCCACAAGGGATGAAATGAGCATTAACTTTGAAAAGCCCTCAATAAAACTGGTTACAGCAGTTTTATTGCTCGGCAGAAGCCTCCATTAGGTGTGGTTAACATGCTCGAAAGATGTATAGCGGTGATAAAGGAAAATGGAGGGTTTACAAAGTATTGGGATGGAGCAGACTAATACAAATCATGAAGTACGCTTTAATTTTAGTTGCGAGCCATACTGAGGGCTTTGATGTAGACTTTTGTAATACAGAGCAAATATTATTGAAATAGATGTGTATTTGTAGATAACATCAATTGATTTTTTTAAATTTAAATGAGGACCATTGCACATTTGTTTTGGTGTTGAAAACCGTCCCCATTAATTTTGACTTTCACGGAATATCGCTGGATAGTACCCCTGCTTGCAAAACTAGTCGATGAACTAGACATGGGCCTGCATGAAAGCTAAACCAATCTAATCACTATGTACAGGGATCTAACCCCAGTCACTTTGACAATTGTACTTTTGATACCCTTAAGAGACTGTATGCTGTGGCCTTGAGCCACATGCGATTCCCCAGCCCCGACTACTTCGTTCCCCCATATCACAACAAACATTCTATCTAGCACCTAACTTTACAATTATATTACAGAGAAGCGAGCTCTTCCGCTAAGTCACTTAAGATTTATCTAGTAGAGAATATATATCTACATGGTTTATAATGGAAAAAGTCCTTGTAGACTGGGATAGTTTAGGCTAAAGTGGGGGGAGGCTGCTGTAGGACATCTCAGCAGTTGCAATTACACATGTATTATTTAGTGGCGTTTTTGAATCTCGTCGAAAAATAACGAGTTCTATTCAACCACTTTCCGAAGGCAAATGCGCCATTTTCCGAGCCTAGAATCCAAGGGATATCTGTGGGAGGGTGTCGGGGTCCACCGAGTCGGGCCCGGTATACTCGCACTCATTAGTTGGTGTGATATATCCACTAACACATGTAGCGTCATGTGCATACCGGGATACAAAGCTTCTTCTATTGTCATTTGAAAATAGATAAAGTCATCTCCTGTTCCCTGCTTCACGTGAATTGTGGCTATGGTTGAATCCGAATAATTACAGACACTCAAGTGAATTTTAAAACCGCCTTCTATCTGAGGAAAAATATCTGGCCAGCTATGTCGGGGAAGTTTCACAGACTATACCAGATTTCATGGCGGGATAGCATAATCTAACACTCAATCATCTCTTTCAAATATGGCTGGATGAGACCGAAAATTAATGAAAAGATGAGACATGAATAACGTGATTAGGTTCTTTTATTATTTAGCATATTTAAACATCCAATATTTATAGAATCCCCTTGCTTCAGCCCTAGCCACAGGTATCTTTCTCATTCCCCAATTTCTAGCGCCCCATTTCCACATCCGCTCACCCGTATCTGTCACTTTGTCAATATTTTCCCTCATCATCCAAATTCGATTGCCCGTCTCGTTAATGGTCCACCCGAATCTCTGAAGACTTGATTTAGATCCTAGAATTCTTTTTTGAACCTCGGCATTAATCTCAATAACCTCGAGTGGTTCCGTCATGCGCTTAAGAAGAGGGCATGACATACTAAATAACGTGATTAAATCAAGTTGGACGCCACTGAGATCAGAGATATCGATGTAGCGTAGAGTATGAGGATTCCATGATATCTGATCGATGGCGATAAGAGTTTTGTCCGGCAATAAAATACGAATTATGTCGCTAAGCGAAAGATAACGGCCCAGGCCTATCTCCTCGAGGTGTTTGCTCAAAGGGAGTAGAAATGGAACATGGAAGGGAGTCATCCTACTTCCCTTAAGGTTGAGTGAGCGCAGAGTTTTAGGAAGCCGGGAGAGTAATAATGTTAATTCATCATGATCAAACATTTCATGAGATTTAGGGTCAACAGCTAGGTTGAGATATACTAGGTTCTTGACAGCGATATGATTAAGAATAAAATCAACCACTGAAGCTCCTGTTAAATGGGTACATCTAGAAATATTAAGATGTGTGATTTGTGCTGTTTCTGCAATTGAATGAAGAGCCGAGTCTGTGATTTGGGTATGAGAGACGTCAAGATGTGTAAGCTGTGGCATTTTAGGGATAATAAAAGAATATACTGAGGCTGTAAGTGAAGTGCATTCATGCAAGCAAAGTCGAGTGACTGAAATGGTAGCTAACACAGGCGATGGATCTGATTTGACCAAGCTTGTAAATGCTTCGCAGAATTTTGGAGAAGAGCAAGCAGTAAAGTCTAAGGCTTTAAGCCTGGGGTGATGGCAGAAAAGTCTTTCAATAACCTTAGAATCTAGATCATCATGAATGTGTTCTTGTGCTAAAAATTCCTGCAGCTGTGGTGTGAGCTCAAGACATCTATTAAGTGTCTCTGGAATGAGATATAATGTTTCTGCTCGTTCTCTTGCTGTCATACCAGCTCCTGTAGGATTGAAGCTGGAGAAATCAAGGCGTTTAACAAGGGCGCCCAGCGATGGATGATTCGTTAAGTGAACAAAAAAACTTTGAAAGATTCTAGATTGTGATATAGTAACGCAACTATAAAGTTCATTGACAGTCGCCGAGTACATTACTCGAGAGGTCAGTAGTAGAGACAAAAGATTAGTGTTTTTCGGAGTGAATGAATCTAAAGGGATATCCGTGGTTAAATACTGTATAATTGTACCTATTGATTTATGTCAGCAACGAACTTCTGAGTCTATGATTTATCAAACAACACACTTAATGTGAGTTGGTGAGATATCTTTGAAGAGAATGAGTTTCAACCTACGAAGAATCTCAAGCGGAAGCATTTCAATTGGACTCGTTCCCGGCTGATATTCATAATCATCGCTAGTTACTAGAGTTATATGTTCTTCAGCACGACTACTGACCACCTCAACGGTATCGCACTCAACATTCCAATCTCTTTTTCTACCTAGGTCCTTCAGATTACTGAAACTCTTACTAGTCAAATCTTCTTTGGTATTACAGTATTTCCAACCTTGAAACCCCTGGCACAGAGAGATATATTCGTGGATTCTGCTGTTTGGATTTAAAGACAAGCTTGATTTAGATCGAGGCGTCTTGAAATATGAGATTTTCGGAAGAAGTATAGCATTGGCCATTGCAAATAGCCCTCTTGCTTTCTATTGACTTTGAGACCTAGGTATAAGTTTGAAGCTGAATTTTCCCGGGCATGTCATTTGATTTTATATCTTGTGAGTCATGAATAACACGACGAGGCAGTCTTCCTTAATACCCACTTTCTATCAATCAGGTGACGACAGAGAATGTGGTCTTGTGAGCATCAGTCCCATTATGCCATATGAGGCTATTGGCCAGAGCTTCAGAAAATTATATGTCACTGGGTCGTCTAGTGCTTTAAATGAAACACTAATTTTGTCGAAAATTATCGTTTGTAGTAGCTGCAGGTGACAATATAGCCAGGAGCAAGTGAAGCGAACAGGGGATTCCTGCCACGGCTTCTCCAAGTACCATGGGGTAGAGTCTATTTATCTGTTACGACGCAGCCTAAAGACGCGTGTCGTGACAAATTGGGGCAATCAACCGTGCCATCAGCTCAGTCTACATGTCGGGTTGGTTTAATGCGAGCAGTAGTTGAGTGACGTGGTTAAAATAAACCTTCTGTTTCTGGGCTTAGACCTAGCAATCATGAAACGTCTGTGATAATAGGAGCGGCTATACGATGAGAGGTGTGTAGTGATTACGAGATTGCGAAGTTTGGAAAGGATGACAAAAGCTGCTCATTGATCTTGTATATCTTGCCATTAGAGGCTGATATGTGGTGGCATAAGCTCGAGACCTCGTTAATAGCTTGGTTATTTGCCTCTGCTTGCCAGTTCAACTGCCGCACAGTGACGTCCACTGTTTTCGCGAGAGATAGAGAAGCCTTTCAATCATCTACCTGTGCAACATTTAATCGCTTCGAAGATGAGTAATTAGACTGAATCTAACCTCCAGTAATATCGCCTAGACACGCTATTGATGTAACAAAGATATTCGACAATAATCAGGAATTAAACTGCTACGGGCAAAAGTTCTTAACAGGCACAAAATTTACTTAGCTAGAGCTTTCAAAAGATGTACACCTTTTGCCTACGACAATAGTCATAAGTCTCCAATTTCAGTACGCAAGAAAAACAAATTCATGATCATATCCCAAATACAATTTTTTCACTTTGTATGTATATCTTAGATCTCATCTTCAAGACCACTAAGCGCCTATACAGGTCGTTTTAAAGGAAAATATGTTTCAAAAATAAGACCTAATCTTGAATTATGACTGGCAAGTCAGAATTGGTCAAAGTGGCATCAGGGCTTCAGATTTCTTCAAAGTATAGGTTTAACCAACGGGCGTCGGTAATACGGCATCTAGCAATTTAGTCAAACCACTAGTCCTATTATCAATTTATTCACCAATAGTCCTCCATATTTTCTCCTAGTCAAATTATTTACAGTTTCTTGAATTACAAGTTATGGTCTCTTGACAAATTTTTTACAAGTTTAGAATTACCAACGGCTATATATACCCTTCAATATAGCAAGGAGTATGTCTATATTTTTGACGGAAAAATCACTGCAGTGGTGCTTCAAAATTTTACTGATTGGAAAAGTGTTTATGCGCATGACATTTAATCAATGATCTTCCTCTTATTAGTGAGGGAATAAGTGAGGATCTAAAGAATCCAACTTATTATCACTACAAACATACTGGATAAGATTGTAAAATATCGGAGCCCCCTAATTATAATTAAGCTCTCCGATGATCAGGTTACCGGTACCAGTTTACATACACGGGGTAATTTAGAATCTTGCAACAGATAAATGATTTTTAAGTTCTATTCTACTTTATCTGCCACATTCTAACGCACTTTTTGATTTTCATTCTGTAGATAAAGTACTCTTGATTCAGATTTCAGTTCAGTAATTGCACTGGCACGGTATTAAAATATGTGGTCTTCACCATACCGAAGATCCATGTTATTTCTTCCAACTCGAGACATAACTATAACCCTGTCAGGATGTGTTGTAATGCAGTGTTCAAAAAAATCATTTAAGCCATACGAGATCAATAGAATCAAAGCCGCTTTGTGATGTAACTTGTTACCCTCTCTTCATGGGGCGGTAAAGTTACGATCGAGCTCCTCTGAATTTCCATATTTAGCATCAATTTAATAAATTTCGACGGCCATGACAAAGTTATTTTAGAATTCGTGAATTAATATCCGATCTTGCTTACGCATTGAATCTTGAGCATACCTAATGGGTTTCGTGAGCTAGGTAACTTTTTTGATGTCTGTGGCACGCTAACCTAGCAAAGCATCTCAGCTGATATAATGAGAGTGAAAGTCTATGATACGGGGGTTCATGGAGTCATGGATAACCTTGAGTCAATCACGACAAGCTACTTTGGTCAGGAAACACAGCCCTTTCTAAATCCTTCTAATCAACTCTACGGCTGTACAGTAATTATTTAGTGGATGATAGTTTCGTTGTTTTGTCAGGTCCAAAAGTTCTGATAGATTGGGGCCAAAGCAGCCATACCAGTTGTATTTGAATGAATCCCGAGCCGCTCAAGGCTGGCACGTAATGGAAATTCGGAATAGTACGCTTGAAGAAATCTCTACGAGGACTTGAACTGATGGACTCTTTTAGAATAACATGAGATCGAATGACTCTCGCCGCATCAAGACGCAAGGCTCGAAACTAGCGTAGAAAATGATGACAAAAAGTTGAGAATTGTCCCGCCCTAAAATGTATGCAGATCTTTAATTAGACATGCGATAAAGAGAACTGCCAGAGCCCGCGCAGCCAAGACCTGTACTCGTTTGCCTGATTGTAGTCCGAACTAAAGATGGTGACTTTGCGGCATGTCACTGTCGCTTTAATCGTAGGACCGCCACGCTATACTACGAGTGGGAAGTGTATAAAATGCTACATTTTGAAGTATGATAATTATTGATGAGAGCAGATCGAGGCTTGGACGTGTTGTGTCCAAGCCAGAACACTTGAAAGTAGGAGTTCAATTATTTCTCTTTAACTGCGGAAATTCACGGGTGAGTTTTCTTTCGATTTATTCTGAGTTGCTAGAATTATCATGATCCAGCACATCAATACGTTTCTATATGATCCAGGTCATTCAGTTGAAACGTGAATCCGCTGTTATTTAACGATATTTAAACTAGTTTGTTTAGGTCTAAATTGTGCTTAAGCTCTAGTAAGAGTGCGGCTGACGTCATTTACCTCAAAAATTATTAAACAAAACAGCAACATGCTGTCTCAATAGACTCAACTGAATCGTTCGTCAAGGCGGTACAAATTTATATTTACAGTTGAACATTTATGAAATTTTCGTACAATTGATAGATGAATATGTGAGGATAAATTATTATTGCCCGTGAATTAAATGGGGAGATGAAAAAACTGTTATATCTGGAACATAGATAGTCTAGTTAATCACTTTCCAAATATTGGAGACTAATACAAGAAGCAAAAGTGATGGTCATGGAGGACGAAGACGCAATATCACGTAGAGATGTCCATTGCGGACTCCTATCTCTGGTCATAAAGTCTATAGAGACAAGTTCAATCAAATTTCGCAGTTCCGGAGTTGGCTCACGAGGCAATAATCTAGAAGACTCCACATCAATTTTTCCCTCCCAAAGAGATCGAATCTTACCTAAGCCTAATCAAGTTTACAAGTACAACTTAGTAAAACCTCATTTCAATGATTACACCTCTTGTCGACGTTCTCTGGCCTCAGCTGATCACCAATGCACGCCCACGCCGATATTTACACCCGACAGAGGAAACAAAGCGTGGCGCACAAATCCGGGAGACAGTTCTTTAGGATGGATGTGAGAGGGATCATGAAAAGTTCATAAAATGATGCAAAGCATAGATACAGTCTGGACGGGTGGAGGGCAAGACTGAACACCTGTACGCGGTGTCCTCTACGAACCTGGGAGTGAAATATTCTCCCAGAGCCAAGTTCAGTCAAATTTCGCAATATCAAAGAAGTTGGCCCACGAGGCAAAAATTCAAATTACTCCACCATGTCAATCTTTCACTCCCAAAGAGTCCGATTCTCAACTAAGCTTCATCAAGTCTACAAGTACGACCTAGTACATCCTCGTTTCAATGACCACACCTCTCGTCGACTTTCTCTGGCCTCAGCCGGTCACCAAATACACGCCCACGCCGATATTTATACCCGACGGAGGAAGCAAAGCGTGGAGCACAAATCTGGGAGATAGCTCTTTGGGATGGACGTGAGAGGGATCAGGACAAGTTCACAAGATGATGCAGAAGAGGGATACGTTTTCGACGGGCGTGGAATTTTGAATTTTGGCATGGGGTTTTACGAATTGAGCTTTGTGCGCGCCAAGACTGAGCTTGCGAGGGTGCAGCTGACACTATAAACACAAGCCAACGATGGAAGGTGTTGTGGTCCGCCTCCTGGTGGTGTTCTCTGGTATGGTTTGAGTAGCATGGGCACCTACTCCACTTGGGAAGGAGACATCTCAGATTACATTTCGCGCGGAGAAAAGTTGATGGATGACAGAGGCATGTCTGGATAACTCAGGGTTTTTGAGATGTTCCCCTGGGTGGGTATTCACGGATGAGGATTGACTTGGGGTGAAGAAAAAGCCACCATAACTTCGCAGTGGTACTTGCAAATGAAATCCGAGGCATGAGTGCTCCTCTTGTATATTGAGTCATCTTTTCTGTACATTTCTTTGATATTGAGTCATAGCTAGATAGCTGCATACGCAATTAAAATCTGATGCAAAAAAAAAAAAAGATGCTACAGTCTACCGAAAAATGAACAGGGGTGATGGTGACCATGCTGAGGATCCAAGATTGACAGACCTCTAGATTAGTACGAGGCTCTAATAAATTGTAATGCTTATGTAATGTTGTTCATGTTGGAGTCCGGGCGCAAGATTAGGAATACTGTACTTTTATAGACGATACCCTGTATTAATAGAAAACCAAGTTACATCTAGTCTTAAGCCCCAGCCACGCTACGGATTCCCAGGAAAGCACTCCACCACCTTCTTTCGGCCCGTTCAGGGCACGGAGACTTTGAGAATTACCATGAGAGATTTAACCATACCAGCTACTCACCGTGCATTTGTGGGCGAGCAAAGTCCCCTATTCATTTTTTTTTCTGCCGCTTGAAAAGAGCGACAGTAAGAAGATATACTGGAAAACTTAGAACTCAAGAGGCAATAAATTGGCTATTAGGCACAGAGGAAGGGGCGGTGGCATACTCTAGTATCATAAATGGAATGTAGTCTCCTCTGGGGAAATAAATGTAGGGACCGAAGTATTGCATAAGATTGCGATACTGGACTGGATTGTTTTTTTTTTTTTTGCATCAGATTTTAATTGCGTATGCAGCTATCTAGCTATGACACAATATCAAAGAAAAGTACAGAAAAGATGACTCAATATACAAGAGGAGCACTCATGCCTCGGATTTCATTTGCAAGTACCACTGCGAAGTTATGGTGGCTTTTTCTTCACCCCAAGTCAATCCTCATCCGTGAATACCCACCCAGGGGAACATCTCAAAAACCCTGAGTTATCCAGACATGCCTCTGTCATCCATCAACTTTTCTCCGCGCGAAATGTAATCTGAGATGTCTCCTTCCCAAGTGGAGTAGGTGCCCATGCTACTCAAACCATACCAGAGAACACCACCAGGAGGCGGACCACAACACCTTCCATCGTTGGCTTGTGTTTATAGTGTCAGCTGCACCCTCGCAAGCTCAGTCTTGGCGCGCACAAAGCTCAATTCGTAAAACCCCATGCCAAAATTCAAAATTCCACGCCCGTCGAAAACGTATCCCTCTTCTGCATCATCTTGTGAACTTGTCCTGATCCCTCTCACGTCCATCCCAAAGAGCTATCTCCCAGATTTGTGCTCCACGCTCTGCTTCCTCCGTCGGGTATAAATATCGGCGTGGGCGTGTATTTGGTGACCGGCTGAGGCCAGAGAAAGTCGACGAGAGGTGTGGTCATTGAAACGAGGATGTACTAGGTCGTACTTGTAGACTTGATGAAGCTTAGTTGAGAATCGGACTCCTTGGGAGTGAAAGATTGACATGGTGGAGTAATTTGAATTTTTGCCTCGTGGGCCAACTTCTTTGATATTGCGAAATTTGACTGAACTTGGCTCTGGGAGAATATTTCACTCCCAGGTTCGTAGAGGACACCGCGTACAGGTGTTCAGTCTTGCCCTCCTGGACTGGATTGTAATTAGTGCAGAACTGCTAGAAAATTTCGCTGCGGGCTTAGCTCGACAGCGCGTCCTTCGCCCCTAGGGAGGTTTTTGGAGACTATCGGAAGATAGTTTCGCCGCGGACGTTAAATGCTAAAATAAAATAAATAAAATCTAGTCTTAAGCTCTACTATACATATTGGTAGATTGGAGCCACGAGACACCCGTAACCTACGCCATCTTGAAGCTAAGCTTATCTCAATTTTCACACATAATTATCCATCAGGAACCTCAATGCTGAGATTGTTTTTAACTTGAGAGGAGACGGGTTTGGTAGATAGGGATGCGGCGCAGGGCACCGCAACTCAGACATTTACTGTACTTTTTTTCTTCTTTTCTTTTGTCGCTTCTGGCTTTAATGCTGGTCATGTAGGTAGCATTGAACTCTCAGAGTCCATCTACCCGTGTCACGTCTAAATTGATGTAGGTCTCCTCCTTTGACGTAAAATATTTCAAATTCAAACATCAGCTCAATCAATTAATCTGTGTATATACGAATTAAGCTTCCGCGAGTCACCATTTTCTCTCCACTAGAACCTGACGAGGGCCCAAAGTAGCTTAGCAATCCAATTTCGAAGCGAGCATATCGCGCTCAATTCTTATTGACACAGAAGAAAAGCACGAGGAGTCTATCAGCGAAGTTGTCCATGTGGCTAACAATCACAAAATCCCAAGCATATGATCATGTGTTGCCCTGGTCCTTGATTCCTAGGAGATATTGAGCACAGCTTAGGACTTAAAAATTAAAAAGAAAGTGCTGCCCTAAGTAGTCAATTGGTAGAGGAGAAATCTGGAGACAAGCCCGAAACCGCTTTTTTGAAGCAATGATCAACGATCCTAGCGATATGAAAAGAATAACACGATGGATTCTTAGTTATGGTTGGATAGAATAATTCCGCATGATCAATTAAGTCGAAATGCTGCTGAGGCAACGAGACGAAACATGTACAAGGCTGGGGTCGATATGAGGGACGTGATTGGTACAGATCGACGGCGTTCCACTGTAACACCACTTCCTGAAGGATAAATTGCAAACTCTAAGATTTAAATCAGAAAGATTGAGGAGGTTTCACGGAGAGGTTTTCTCCTGTGTAATTATATAGATAGGTTTATAGCCACCGTCATTAGCCCATAGGGCGCCAGATCAGGTTGGTGAAATCAAATGAAATACGAATTAGGCCTGATGTGCTCGCTTCGAATTTAGATCACTAGGCTGCTTTGGATCCTTGTCAGGCCAAATATATATATATAATTCATTATTCTGATTCGGCGCCTTGGGGCCCATGCAGGTTTTAATCGGAAGATATGTACTTTACGTAGGATGACTCAGTTTGACTTTTAGAATACTCACACTCAGATTTCATTTCCACTACCACTCGAGCTTAACCCTTACGGCGTATAACCTCTTCCGTGCACACCCACCACAGGGAAAGGCGTGAAAACCCTGTGGCTATTCGAGTGTGCTTTCATCATCCCACAAGTACAATATCACCGCGAGGGAGTGCGGTGTGTGGGTCTTATTGGGCTTGAACCAGCTTTTACCTGTCTCGAATGGGGGTACGTGTCGAAGCTACCCAGTATCTACTCGGGAGAACGGCTCGAATGGTGTACCACTGCACCATCTAACTCCGTCAGGCCAAATAATTAGTTAAGAATTCGGCAATGCTGACATGGCGCCTCGAGGCCCGTCGAGGTATTTTCCGAAGATAAGTATTCTACGTCGAGTGACTTCGCACGACGTTTAGGACACTTACATTCGGATTTCATTTGCAGATACCACTCGAGATTAACCCTTACGGCGTGCAACCTCTTCAGTGCATACCCACCACAGGAAAAAGTATGAAAACGCTATGGTTATATGAGCGTGCTTTTTATATGTAACAAATACGATATCACAGCTAGAGAGTATGATGTGCGTCTTACTTGTATCGGAGCAGCTTTCTCTTGTCTCAAGATTTAGTCATCTGTCAATTTCAGGAGCCTCGCATCTGATGACTTTTGTGATTCTCTTCGGCCGTTCACCCAATAACGGCCATCACTTGCACGGCTGGGGTGAGGAGATTACGAAAGCATAAGGACCTCTCCAAGCGCACCATCAAATGAGGACTTTTGGGGCATGGTAAATAGAATGCTTCAGGTTAGATCTACTTCTAAAGGTATTGTCGTCCTTTACCTGTAGACAACAGCCCACGTGTGCTATATGTGTTTTATATTTGATATAGAATTATTGCAGTAATAATATAGAAAGAGGTCGCCCAACTTCACTAAACTTTTGTCACGTAACGTTGAGACATAGGACATCCATATTTGTTTTCATGGCCAAAAACGCTAATCAAGGTGCTACAAAATTGTACAATTTTTTACAAGACCTCCAACATCGTTTACTAGCATTAGTCATAATGATACCCTTTAAGGATCTATTCGTACATCGCATCTATTCTCCCTTAAGCTTATCTTGAGTTACCTGAAAGGCAGTTTCCAATAATTCCTTTTCTTCTTTGGTATGGTTTCCTTTTATACCTGTGGCTACACTAGCGCTTGGGTTACGGCCTGCGTACATCACGTGCTTGTGATCATGGTTTACTGTTTGGTTTAACAGTGTTTCAATTCGGGGTTGTGTGAAGCTCCATGCACCGCCGTTTAATGGTTCCTCTTGGCACCAAACTATTGTCTTAGCATTCGGATAGCTGTCAAGATTCTCCTTTAATTGTTGCCATGGGAATGGATTCAACTGTTCAATACGTGTAATGGCAGTGTTTTTAATGTTGTTATCTGCACGAAACTTGTGAAGCGCAACATAAACTTGCCCAGTACAAAGAATAATGCGGTCAATTTTAGCATGATCATCTATTGATTTGCCATGTTCTGAATCTGGAATAATCCATTTGAATTGAGAGTTACCAGTAAATTCTTCAATGGGTGATCGGACTAATGGATGTCGCAGAAGAGATTTGGAAAAGAAAATTATCAGAGCTGTGATAGGTTAGCAGAGAGCTTGAGAATTTATGACATGTATTACGTTTCCTGAATTGTCTATTCATTTGTCTCCTGAGGATATGGAATAAGTTTGAGGGTGTGGTCATATATGCGATTTGCATGTTACAATCTTGGTGCTGTCGCTCTATTTTTTTCAGCGACGGGAAGATACGTGGATCTTCATTACAAAGTTGAAGGTATCTTTCCATGCGGCCTGAAGAATGCTCAGGCCCTTGACCATCATATCCGTGAGGAAGGGAAATAACTAGACCTGATCTCTGCATCCATTTTACTTCTCCAGAGGCGATAAACTGGTCAAAAATACATTGAGCATTATTAGCGAAATCACCAAACTGGGCCTCCCACATTACAAGCGCATTGGGTGATGAGAGTGAGTATCCATATTCGAAGCCAAGAGCACCAAATTCGCTAAGAGAGGAATTGGAGATAACAAATTTCCCTTGATCCTTACTAATGTGTTGTAGAGGTGTGTATGTTTTTTCGTCTTCTTGATCATGAAAGACTGCATGCCTTTGAGAGAAAGTGCCTCGCTCCACGTCTTGACCTGAAACCCGGACATGATGTCCTTCAGTCACTAGTGATCCAAAGGCGAGAGCTTCGGCTGTTGACCAATCAATATTAGTGCCTTCAGTCACGGTCTTAATTCTATTTGCAAGAGTTCGTTTTAGATTTCGGTGCACATTGAAGTTTTCGGGGTATGAACCGATCGTTTCGCCTATATGTTTTAAGGTATGATGTGGAACCCCAGTAGGATTATGGGGAAGTACTTCTGTAGCAAGTTCTTTCGGCGACTTGAAACCGTTCCATGCAGACGTGGTCCATTCCTTTGAAGTAGGCGAGTAATCTTTACTCTTTGCAAAGCTTTCCTCCAGCGTATGCCAGACCCATTTTTGATGTTCCTCGATGTCAGCTTTAGTAAAGCTTCCATCTTTCAAAAGTTGATTAATGTATATTTCAATCTGAGACTTGTGAGATTGTATTCGCTTGTACATGAGGGGTTGAGTAAAAGAGGGCTGATCGGTCTCGTTGTGTCCATGTTTCCGGTAACAGACAAGATCAATTACAACATCTTTGCGGAATTTAGCGCGCCAGTCAGCAGCCAGCTGGCAGACAAAATTAACAGCTTCAACATCATCAGCGTTTACATGAAAGATAGGTGCGTCAATTGATTTAGCAATATCTGTGCAGTAAGCGGTAGATCGCGCAAACCTTGGGTCAGTTGTAAAACCTATCTGATTGTTAACTACCAGATGAATTGTGCCGCCAGTTGAGTACGCTGGAAGCGAGTGAAATCCTAGACACTCGTATACGACACCTTGTGCGGCGAATGCAGCATCACCATGAAGAAGAACGCCCATAGCAGTGTTGTGGGTTACCTCATCATTGTTGTAGTGCTGAATTGCTCTAGTCTTCCCGAGGACTACAGGGTCCTCAGCCTCTAAATGGGAGGGGTTGGCCACAAGTGAAAGTTGGACGCGTTTTCCAGAAGGAGTAGGCCTTTCGAAGTTCATTCCCAGATGGTACTTAACATCACCGGAGCCCTCATCACCAGCAGTGGCAGTCCCGCCAAACTCACTAAAAATCGACTCGTTTGGTTTCCGGACAACATTACTGAGGACATTCAGTCGCCCACGGTGGGACATACCAATAACGATATCCTTTACACCAAAATCCACACTACGGTCAATCAAGGCCTTCATCCCAGGAACAAGAGTCTCACAACCTTCTAGACCAAAACGTTTATCATTGGGGTATTTTGTTGCCAAAAAACTCTCAAAGCTTGAGCTCCAGATTAGTCGATCCAGTATGCGACGTTTTTCATCGATTGAATACTTGAACGGCTGTTCTACTTCGACACGCTCTCGTAGCCAGTCACATTGTTCGCGATCCGGGATGTGAATGTACTCGATTCCATATGAGCCGCAATAGATGCGTTCACATGCCTCAATAATGTTCCTTAGAGTCATTTTCTCACGTCCATCCTTCTTAAAGCGGGGTAGTATACCAGGGCCAAGGTTATATTCGGTATCAAGGTCCTTTTCGGAAAAATTATAGCGTTCGAGGCGAAGCTCTTTGGGGTTACTGTAGCCAAATTCCCCAGCTTCCCGCCTGATTCCTAGTGGATCAATTTTGGCTTTATGGTGACCGCGTGCTTGATAGGCACGTACTAGAAGTTGAACTTTGAGGTGATTGGTAACGTCAGAATCATGACCTATACCTACACCTGTTCCGGGCAAGAAGCTTGGGACACCCCCTGTTGGTGTAGGAACTATGGTTGGAGGAGGCGTGAAAGCTTGTGATATCGGCATACTGCCCGTCTCAATATTTTTGAAGTATATTTGCCAAGAAATATGTACACTCTTAGGTTCATTTTTCCAAGCCAGATACATTTCATCAATGTACGATGCTGCGCTACCAGAGAGGAAATCGTCGCTCGACTCTAAAGTCGATGCAGGTGATGTTATATGACGCTTCTGAAAAATTCCGAGCGGAGGACATCTTTTGACTGTAATTGCGGCAGTAGATGATTTCTGCAGTTTAATACTGGTATGGTATGATTTTACTTGCAAGAATTTCGTGCAGTCAGCTTTTTTCAGCTGACTGCTCGATTGCCGTAGAGAATGTCGAAGCATTGGTATTTTCAGTTAAATGATAATGAAATGATGAGGGTTATATGATATGTCTTGATTTAATGGGCGGCGGGAAGGCTAGGTTTATGCTCACACACATGTTCGCGCAGGACAGATCGACTGAGCTTGATCATTGGTAATCATCCAGGTACTCTCGGTAGAATCCAAAACTGAGCTAGCCGAGGTGCCAGGATCAGCAAGGCCCATTAGCATAACCTTCACCATATTCATATCCATAATCTAACACCATCGGATTCACACAATTATTACGAGTAAAACTAGTTCTTAATCTTCCCCTAAATTAGTAAAAACATACATATTTATGGTAAAAAACTGCATGTTGAGCCGCAATGCCATCAATTGTCCAGGGATCTGCTGCCTACAAGAAGAAAGATGGCACATTGAATATAACGGAAGATCAAAAATCTATTGTATGGAAACCCCTTGGCGCCCAAAGCAACGAAAAGATGGTAGTAATTGCCGTTACTGATATCACAAGTAAGCACTATCAGAGAAACAACCATGCGTAGCATATATTAAATTTCTACAGATCTTCAACAGACGCCCGAATCCGCAGCCAAGGCAATGTTACGTATAATAGAAAAACCACCGACTTCAACTGAGTCTATCACTCATCAGTTTCATTTCAATTCGCCGAAAAACCCTCGGGTTGAAGCAAACTCCATTAAAGATGTTCTTACTGTTTTAATCAGTGCCATAAAAGCTAAAGAAGCTAACATTTTAAAACCCAACACATCAGACTCTTCATCACTGGGCTTAGTATCTTCGAGCGTTACGGGATTCAAGACAGCCACTGCAGTGATGTTTGATGATGCTCACCTGAAAGCTAATATAGAATTGCAGCAGTCTGTCATGAAAATTGATCCATCTCTACATCGTACTTATATGGAATCACGGAGCAACAAACCTGATTCAATATCAGATTCTCAGTTTAATTCTCAATTTTGGTCGACGCGAACACATTTGCTTCGAGCTCATGCAATTGAGTTACGTCAAAAAAGAGGCGCATATAACGTTTTATCTGCGGTAAAGCCACGACAGGTCGACGGAGAGCTTAAGATGAATATCAGCTCGGAACAGGTTCAGCTCATTTTCAGCCAGCATCCACTCGTCAAACATGTTTATGATGAAAATGTTCCCAAGCTAAACGAAATGGAGTTCTGGTCACGATTTTTCTTAAGTAGACTTTTTAAGAAGTTAAAAGGCGAGAGAATACTGGAAGGTGACGTCAAAGACCCTGTTTTTGACAGGTATATGGACGCAAACAATGATAGTGAAATAAATATTAAGAAATTCTCCGAGAATGTACCTCATATAATAGATTTAGCTGGAAATGAAGAGAACCAGGGTGGAAGCAAGGGTGGAAACAGGAAAGATTTTACAATGCGTCCTGCGTCAGCAGCTAAGGTACCCATAATACGTACCCTCAATAGCCTGAGTGAGAAAATAATGGCTCATGTCGCGCCATCAGATATAGATCCATCAGCCCCTATTGGTATGGATGAAGAGACTTTCAGTCTTTTAGCGCTTCGAGACTTGCAAGGAAATGAAGCGGAAAATAAGATTGTGCTCAATATAAAAGAACAAAGCAGATTCTTTTCCGACGGGAAGGGCTCGTTATCATCAGAGGCTGAGGCTTACGCACAGCAGATTCCCTCTGAGATATTAGCAAGTCTACTCACGGATGTAAATTCTTCTGTTATGAACAGTGAGGCTGGGTGCTTAGACTTAAGTTTAGCGATAGGTGTGAGAGAAGACAGTGATACCGAGGATGAAAGCGAAGAACAATATCATGTTGGCAGTAGATTAAGCCTCTTAGATGCTCAAAATCAAGTACTAGAAGCCATCAAGACCCGACGGCAAGAAACTGATGGCTCAGGAGCTCAAACTTCGTCGCTGGGCCTCTCGCAACAAATTCTTGACAGGCTTATTTTGACCCATGCAACTACGATAGAGTTCGTTCACCATTTCTGGGCCCTCTTCCTTTCCGGGGACTCAGAGCGTGCTGGTGAGCTAGCGAAGCTGGTTGAGACACTCGAGAAAGCTGTAGACAGAATCGACGCAGTGGCTAATGATGCAGAACAGGAGAGGCATGAAATTATAGCTAAACAAAAGCATCATATCAAAGAAGTGTATAAAGCTAGCGGGAGAAAAATCCAGTGGAGTGCTACTTCCGTACTTGGTGGTTCAAGCGTTGTAAAAGCTGTCGTAGAGCCCACAATTAAAGCAATTCAGAAGGCGGTGAGAGAATACAAGAAAGCTCTAGAGACCGAAATGACCGAAGCGCTATCGATACCAAGTTAGATTTACTTTATGAAAAACAGCGGAAGGTGCAAACCTCAATTTTTAGTGGGAGGCCAGGAGGTAAATGATTAGAATCAAGATCAAGGCTTATACTCCCAAAATATTAAGGTTCAGCAGCAGTTATCAACTGCAAATTAATCATTCTATACAATTAAATGCAACCTAAACTCTGCCATGCATTTTCAAAATGACAGCCAGTAGAGATAAACTTCACAAAGTAGAACGGCAATCGCCTCTAAGAGAATTATCACTGCCTAAAAATTCAACAACTGAAACCTTGAACATAATTCAAACAAAAGATTCTTTCACACATAGCAATAATTCCTCTGAAGATAATTCCAATCCAAGTGCTTCTGTATATGAAGCTGTGTACCTTTCAGCAACTAGCTGTGACAAAAACAAACACAAAATCGAAGTTGTCAGTATACCCCCTCGGAAGCGTTCGCCGGCGCAAAAAAATCGAGCAAACAACGAAAACGAAAAAAATCCCGGTATAGACTCTGACAGTTACCCTCACGATACGGAATTTCTATATGGCTTTGGGACTCAGTTAGATACTATCGAAGAGCAAAAAATTGAGACTACAATGGAGAGCTCTACTCAATCCAGATTCGTAGGAAATAGAAAGTTTCTCTCATCGCATAAATATCGAGATAGTTCAACTCTATCCAACTACCTCTATCGAAGATTGTCATGCAGCTCAGATAGGTTGAGCAACAAAAATTTACTTACTGAAACATGCACGACGCATGGGCACGAATACCCAAAGTTTGTAACTGCCAGTGGATTTCGAGCACAGTCTAAAACTCATAAAAAACCCCTTCATGAAAATCCAAGCACGATTCGTAATCTAAATAACATGAAAAAACTATGCGATCTACGTAATGATGATGGAGAACTAGTAAAGCCAGATCTCGACAGCTTTACTGACCTATCTGCCTCTGACTTTGTCAGTTTTCCATCCTTGATGCCTCTTTACTCTAGTTTCCAGGGCCAGTCCACACCTTTAACTGCCAAAAATCGAAACTTCATCAAGCTTGAGCCGCTCAAAAGTCCGCTTATTCCACCAACTCATCATATGTATTACAAAGCTTTAGCCACGAAGATAAAATCAAATATACAGGCCCAGGATTGCGAGATAAGGTTAACACCCTCTAGTAGCCTGATACCAAAAAATGGCGCGAAAGATCAAATGAGGATTAAAATGGGTCGATATAGCTTTTGTAACTCTAGTTTAGTTATCGGCTCAGGTAATACACTTCATTGTAATGAGATTCAACCGATTCATAATAGTTCTACGACTTCTATATCTCCAACAGAGAGTAGTTATTCTGGGACGGCGTTGCGAAGAGTGCCAAAGGGTATAAGCGTAAATAACGATACTCAGTCCCCGAATTCAAGAAGAGGCCTAACAAATTTTCAGAGGATTAAGCTTAGCAGGATCTTAACATATAACCGCTGTCACCGTCACACATCCAAAAATAAGGCCATCAAATGTTCGTCAATGTCAGTTCTACTGCCTGCTCAATCATCAGTAAATTTCAAATTAGATCCCATTGACCCTCGTGTAGTTCAAGCTCGTTCTTCATCGACTTCACAACTTGTAGGTGGTGCGATACCACTTGATTTTCATGACGAAGGTGCAGACTGCGCCGCTGAGAAGATACAATTAAAACAAACTAGGTGGAAGCAAAAAATTGGAAAATCAATATGCAGAATAGACCATATATGGATGCAGGCAACAGACTGTTTATGCTTTCCTTGCTCTAATTTAGCCTCCAAAAATGTATAAGCAGGTCAAAGTATGTCACTAAAGCCAATTAATTGTACACGGACTAGATCATAGGTTTCCTTAGAGTGCTAGCTGCTGTCAATCGCAGGACTTCAAACCAATGCATCGCATTGATTGGTGCTGATGAATATGATACATAATTGTATGAAGCTTTTCATATTTTTGATTATTGCTTCCATGGACGGAAAGATATGTATATAGCTTTCATAAAATTATTCATACAAAGTGACCTGGTTGTCTACGTGAAGAAATGAAAGCCTTGGCACCTAAGTTGTTCTGGCTTCAATTAAGCATTCTCATTTTGATATATTAAGCATTGTGAGATCTATGCATCGGCAATATTTGAACAAATTCGTTAATGATTAAACATGATGAGAGTTTGAAAGTAACCATACTTTGGTATCTTAATAGACTCGGTCATGACTATAATGTTGAGCAAGACTAAATTAGTCTGCTGCTCTACAATATATGAGGTTTCCCGTCCCATTTGTAGCCAACTCAAATCCCTCCCCATTCCCTAATATGCGGGCTTCCCAATGACAAACTGACCCCGTTAGAGCACTCATTTGTCTGGGCTCATGTGACGGGACTTGCCCGGATTGGGACTGGTCACTAGGACCACTCTGTCTTCGAGGTTAGGCTGTGGCTAAGCAGCGTTCCTGGAAGTGCGAATGGGGCGCATAAGGAGGTAACAAGGGTGGTAAGTACCAGATGGGAAGTGTGGTACAGGAGAAGAGGTGAGCTGGGGAGAAAGGATAATTCTCAGGTGGAAAATGTGGTGAGCTAGGACTAGTCCACGCAGAGGATATCAGGGATGGGAGACTACGTGGTAAACTGTCCTCCCAAGGAAAAAGTTATTAATTCCTATCGAGTTATTGTCTTTCAAGTACATCTGAATTCATTAAACCTTTACAGTTCACTGTAATACTTGAGTCTATGACTCATTGTTTGATTTTAAAAAATATATATATTCAGCTTAGATGGTTATCATCATAGACGCGGGAAAAATGGTGTAGAGACATGATTAATTCATCGGTTATTAGTCATTACAGAATTGCTATTTCTCAGTGTATGACTAATGTCAGGCGCAGGTTCACTAGGCGCAAGATTCATGGTGGAAGAGAGAGCGTAGCACGCCGGGTACCGAGGAAGGGCGGTGTCAGTGTTCCTATCCAGCTGGTTGGATCATCAGCTTATGGATGATCCTGACAGTCCGAGTTGCTTTGATGGGTATGGGTCAACAGTATGTTTGAGCGCAGATAGGTACAGATGTTAATCAGATGTTACTTGTGTTATTATTTCTCTCTTGATACCGACCCGTACAAACATAGCCAAAATAGTAACTCACGTTGATACTCAGGATTGCGAATGATAAGTTGAATGGAAATCCCCTGAGCTTGAAGTTGCCACTTCACACTAAAAGAGGAGCTGAAGCAACCATTGAATATATAAATAGCACTAAAATATCTCCTCGGGTATGGCACCTTGGTAGTAGCAAGACAAACTCTGGAGTGGAGTAATATAAATTGAAAGAAGTGGGACACTACTCCTCAAGCAGTGGTTGGTACTGGGAAAAAACAGGGTCAAAAATAAAAAAATATAATATAATTTAAATACTATACAGGACTTGTTCCTCACTATCTATAAGAAAATGTTGGGAATTAAAATGGTTGAATTTATCGAAATTTGTAGTCTCTTTCATTTAGAAGCTAGAAGTCCTCTATAGTCATAGACTCAGATAGGACTATAATAAAATCTAATCTAATCTAATCTAATCAGGACTGCGATGGATAGCAGAGATTGATGGTGTTTATGGCAGTGCGAGGGTTGTGATTGTGGACAGGGATATGACACGTGTTACGGCGTGCTGTAGGGTAGATGGAGATCGCCGTTCGCCGTTCGCCGAAGGTATGGGAAGGTCAAGTGGTGAATACTAGAGAGATGGAAAGTCGACAAAGTACTATGGCTAAAAGGAAGCGGGTTGGCGAGAGGAATACTGTAGTAATATTATAAGATTGTGAAGTCTGAGAACTACTTTGTTGTAGCCCCAGCTTCCTTAAGTACAAATAACTATCTAACACAATTCAACTAAGATTGTTGTAATTTCCCATCATAACTCAAACTGTGACCTCAACCATATCAATTCCAGTTGGCGCATTATCTAGTCTCACCATATAAGTGCAAGTGTTGAGGGTGATTCGAAAAAGCTGTTCCGTGAACTTTATCCTCAGACTCTCTACTTAGACTCTGCTTTAAGAATGTCTCGCCATGACAACACGTGTATATATGGCCCACTTGACTCTTGAATATGATGATGCATCCGAATAAATTCACAATGCCCATACCTACTCTGGCCTAATCACCATTTTCTATGCTGGTCTTATCTTCTAACTGATGCCTTTTCGCGCCTCTATCTTAAATGACAGGTCATGATATTCTTTGTCCTGCTGGCCATCATCAAGCCCAGAGTTATGGACAGATTAAATCTTTAACAATTTGTAATGGGTTAGTGGAATAGGAAGTTCTCGACAGCCCGTCATATTCCGCTGACAAGAGCCGGGAATCCGTAAATAAATTAAAAGCTGTGCACACCTGCTAGAGATCGTGCGACATCCTTGTAAATTTAACTTAACCTACAGCCTGATGTCTCCTTCCGATCCGTCTCCTTACAGGCGGCGGGTGGAAACACAGAGGACTTTCCGGAGAATTGGTAAGGGCGAAGGCTTGGGGTGTTCTAGATAAAGTAGCCGGAGGTTTGTTTTGTTCATTAACATGCTAGGCATATGAGACCCACCGCACTCCTGCTGGAGCTTGAGCAAGGATGGGGCCGGGCCGGACCGGATCAGGTTTGAATTTGAATTATTTTTCGTGACAGGAAGAGCTGTTAGCGGACGGTACGTCAGCTTCTCGCAAACATTTGTCGAAAATGATATTTATTTTCTATCTAAAGGGAAAATAATCTATATGGGATTTACCAGAGTATAAAGACTACGCGTCGCGTCGTATCCTGGACTTTACATAAGCAATTACGTGATCCTAACTAAATTAAGAATGACGCCTGTTGGGAGCCAGATAAACTCCGGTTCCAGGTAAATGAGGCAGCAGCCTGTAACATTATCCCCTCCGGTTATTTGATAGCCCAACACTAAAAATTATTATTATTATTATAATTGTTATTACCTTTTGTTTTTGATAATGCCAGTAGATC